ATCAGGTCCCCTGCAGCCGGGCTGCAGTCCAAAGCACGCTGCATGGCCATACTTCCCCTCCCTGGTGGAAGATGAAGTTACACAGTCAGACAGCAGGCTCAATCAGAGCATTGATAGTAATGACATTACAAAGATTAAGGGCTATTGTCACCGATAGCCTTAATATTTTGTTATAATTGTGAATGAACTGATTAGAGCTATACGATAGGTTGATCAACAGCAAATGGATCAGCAATTATTTTCCAAATTAAATTAATCCTTTTTCAAGCACAAATGCCCCAGTTAGGGCTTCTGAAAATATGCAGTTAAAAAAAAAATTGGATAATGAATGAAATAAGTTTGGATTTTAAACTGTTGGTCAGACAAATCAAGACATTTACATATAATTGGAATGTTCATAATTGTATGACATTATATAGATGATAAAATCAATCAAAGAATCAAAAATGTATCAGGACATTAATCGCTACACTTGTTAGCTGCAGTCCTACAGTGACACTTTCTTTACCTCGGATGCAAGTCCATGTAGAACTGGCCGATCTCCTCTCCAGTTTCAGTGTCCCGGGCAGAATAAAGCTTGACATTTTCATGCCACACATTAGCGTGTTCCACCTGTGTGAATGTGAGACCCAGCAGCTCCTGGTAGATACCAAACAGTCCCTCTGTCACCACGTCAAGAGGGAAATACTCAATGAGTTTGTCTTTGTTCACAGCAAACTTGCACTGCTCCACTTGATTCATGTAGTAGGGTAGGTCCCAGGCATTGATCTGTCCATCATACTGGAAGCCCTTCATCAAGCACTCACGCTTCTTCAGTGCAAGAATATATTTCCTCTCTTTGATTCCAATGGGCTTTAGTGTTTCATAGAAGGTATCTGTAGAGTTAGAACAAAAACAAGATAAATAAATGTGCCAAAAAGTTTCAAATCATGTCATTATGGTTTTTTTCTATATGTCTAATTGTAAAGCACAAAGTCTCAGTCCTTTCTCAGATCTGGGATCTTGTTTGTATCTAAAACTACTATTAATTACTACTTTTTAAAAAGATCATCAATTATCTCTCGTTTATATGGATTTGTAATACAATAACAAGCCACTGACAACACTCAGTCTGCCATTTTTCACTTGTGATATATGACACTGATCATGAAGGCTACATGACACCACATAGGAGGCATGAAGTACAACATTTACAACGTTACACTCAACAGGCATGAGGTGTAGGGTTTCTGTCTAACAGTTGAGCCCACCCATCTGTCCAATGAAGTTGATCTTTGTAATGCAAAGCGGTTAAAAGATGGTCTCGTCTTAAATTACATGTCTTTCATGTGTGCGTGTGCCTGTGTGGTGCTACGTCAAAGCTGTCATACCTAAGAAGTCAGACACATTGCCTGCATTCTTGGCCATGTTAATCTCCAGCACATAGTTCGCATGGCTAGTGTAACCAAGTAAATCTGCAACCTTTGCCTTCAGCTGTATCAATTGTTCCAGGATTGCTGTGTTAACCTGAAATAAAAGAAAGTGGAAGAAAGAGATATGCAGATCAAATAATGGTTACAATTTGAAGAATCTCTATTTTAGTCCTGGTTGCTTTGGCGACATGTGTGGTAACAGCAGGTGCAGCAAAAATATACAGAAGAGCAGCTGGAGTATCTGTTTACAGTGCAGCATAACAAACTCATATTGTTTTAATAAAGAAATCACTCAATTGCTGGCACTCTTCCATGAGAGTTACAGCAAGGGTCTGATTTCAGGCTGCAAAAGTAGCTTTCCACACTGCAGCGTCATGTGAGCAGTGTGCAACCTTTCACCTGCAACTGTGAAGGAAACAGCTCACTGAGGTTGCTTGCTATTGTTTTACATTGTGTTTCACCACGTAAATACTTTTAATTGGCAAGCAGCAGCGGGAAATAACTGGTTTACATTAGCAGTCATTTAATACAGCTACGGCTCCTGGAGAGTGAACAGTAAACAGTACAGCAGATATAAATGAGATGGAATAACTAACGGATATACTAGTGCATGCATGACCTCCTCGGATACCCTTGTGTGTATGTCTGTAATACTATTTGGGCAAGTATTTGTATGAGAGAGAGTTTAGAGAGGTTATATTTGAGACTTTTAGCATACAGTAGTAATTGCAAGTGACAGCACTATTTCTGCAGGTGAACAGTATATGGATGAACTGAAGTTGAAACAGACAGTTCTCACTGGGTTCAGGGAGGTGTAGGAAGCACAGATTTGTTATCGGACTCCACTCACGTCTTTACACCTGCTGTGAAAAGCTGTTTCCATCTTCCTCCTGGTCTCAGGGTTATGACACCTCTTCATCAGTGGGAAGTAATGGGGATATTCAAGTGTCACTTTATACTGCCCGTTTGCTGTCTTGTCCAGTCCATCGAGGAAGCTGTTAGCAAGACCACCTTAACAGAAAGTTAACAACATCAATTTAAATCAAATCCGGCAGTCCCCCAGGCTTAGTGTATTGTGTATAGGCTTACCGAGTTCATTCTCAGAAAAAACAAGAAACGTATTGTCCTCATTCAGATTCTGGTTGAACTCTATGGAGAGTTCACATATAAGCTTGGATTTTCTTTTTATTTCCTTTAGAAAGAAAGGGAGTCATCAGGAATTATGTTTTTATATATTGTTTTCAAGTATAGTTGAAGAATTATAAGATTGGGGGGGAAAAAATATAAATACAGCCAAACATTCAAACCTAAAATTACCAAATTGCTTTCATTATACAAAACTCTTCAATGCAATTTATATGGTCAAAATTAAAGCAGCTTTACTAATTAAGTCACTTATTCTTCTTACCTCTTGCATATCTTTAGACAAGTGCAGTCCTTTCCGCTTGCCCAATGTAACAAGTCTGTCTAAGAGCCTCTTCTCTTCAGGTAAAAGGTTATCTTGGAGCTTGTTCTGTGAACAAATATTCACAAAAACCAACATCTTATTTACTCACTTGTAATTATGCTGCAAGTGAGCAAGCCACTCATTCACAGAAAAACATATGGTGTGGGCTTCCACGGAAAAGATCAGATTAAATTACTTTCCCATGCTAAAAAGAGAACCAGTGGTCGAGTCAAATAAGGTTACTGTATACACACTTCAGGCCTTGCCAATTTGTCATTGGCATAGCTACAGCTAAATGCACCAACCCCTCAACGAGCTTCAAAATCCATGTATTTTACCGTTAACAATACTTTAACACGATTATCGAGTTGACTGGGTGTTTTACTAGCCTAACTCCCCTCATGTCGTGATGTGTATGTTCAAGTGGATGTGATATGAGGCGTACCTGCAGCGCTATGATTCGCTGGAAAACATCTTCCCTCATACTAATCTCCACGTCAAACTCAGACAGTTTCTTGTCGGCCTCTGTGCTCGCTGCCCGAACCTCTTTAGAAGGACAGACGTACTGGGGGAAATCAAGCACATGGAGCGATGCTAAGGGAACAGAACAGACAAAAAGACAGCATTAACATTGTGCCAGATAGGAAAATGCATGAAGTAACCCATTCTGTTTGTAAAATGTAATCTTCTTAAATGTTTTATGTAAGGGACTGCGGATGGAAATGAGCTCAAAGCTAAATCTGGCACTGTTACGCTTGACACATTTTAGTGTTTTAAGTGTTCATTACTGTGCATTGTCCCTGCCAAATAAACGATTACAAAATAAAATAAATAAATGAAAGATGTTATTATTACATATATTTTTTTCTCAAAAGATCCCATTAAAAGACCAAATCCACACTTTCACACCCACTATGTTTTCAAGCTGAAAACCGAAACCTTCAAAAATCTGTAAAAATAAATTATTGTGTGTTTGTCTGGGACTATTTTCAGCTGGGGTATAATACAAATGTTTTGCTATAATACGTAGATGTACAGTATATGTGACTGAACGTATAGGCTACTTTACTTCATGGTAATAATGCAAAGTGTCACGTCGTTTAACAATGAGGCCCATTTATGTGTTTTATATAGCTTAAGGACAACAATGGAGCATATTGGCACACGGTTCTTATCAACAAGAAACATGTACATTATCACCAGATTTATACCTCAACACTTACATGCATAATCCAGTTTGGCATGAGCCAAGGCTTTCAGGGTGTTTTCAACTGAAACATGTTCTATCTTTAGAGACCCGATGTCATCATAGACAGCTTTTACTCTTTTTATCAAGCTGTCTGTAGAGGTCCGGATATCATCCGGGGTCAGGTCCCATCTCAAAGCGCATCTCTTATTTCCTGCCAGGGAACAGTCTCTGGCAGATATCACAGATCCATTCTGGATGGTGGTTCTCAGCAGAGGATTGGAGACGCTGTAAAACATTAGACTTCTCAGTTTCAACTTTGAATCAGAATTACAGTTCAGATTGAATTTAACAGGTGACACAAGGCCACTGTAAGCGGTTAATTATTCAAGGTCACACTTGAAACGTGCTCTGCATTTTTTCCATGCTAAGAGGGAGCCTTTTCCCACTCAGGGTCGAGTTTCATAGCATGACAGCGGAAGCCTTTCAAAACAAGATCATAAATAGTAAGGGCGGCAGCTGTGACAAACCACTGCCAAGACTTATAAACATTTCAGCGCTTTCCTTTAAAGAGCAGGAGTGAATGGAGCATTATTTTATCATCCTTTTACTATGATTAACAGGTGGTAAATGAAATAACAGCAACCATTGTTGGAGATTTGAGGAGTAAGTTAATGAAGCAAATCACACCGGTGTTAAATTAACAGTCTTAACATCATAGGCCTATGCAGAATCATACCTGTACAGCACGCGGCACATAACTCTTAACGCACACATGCCAGCGGTTCATGCGTTCTCCGTACAAACAAAAAGCCCCTTTCTGTTCCTCTTACTGTGGCTCAGTCCAAACCATTCTGTGCAGGGACAGAGGCAGCAGCAGCAGCAGCAGCAACAGAGCAGGCACCCTCTCCTCTGAAATGTGGAAAAGGCTCCTTGTTTCCGCTTTTAAGGCGCAGGCGCAGAAGATGCGATCAAATCCGACACAAGTCCTCATGACGCGGCGGCACAGACAGCTGGAAAAGAGCTCAGGTAGGTGGGCGGGGGGTTCCGAGTGGCATCCTTTGACACAATGTTATTTATAAATGTGATTTATAGTGCTACTTAGGTGATTTGAGATCCTTTCCTCCCTCTCCTCCTGCATGTTTTGCTGCCCTGACAGCAGGTTGTGATTGTTTCAGCCTCACAATCTGCACAGTGGCGATCAGCGGATATTATCCTAAAGACAGGCTTTATGACAAACAGCTGCATGCGCCAGTGGTTGTGTTTTCTCGAATGCATTGGATTTAGGCTATTCAATAATAATGCTTGCGAAATGAATAAAAACACACATCGTCTCCTGATTACCATCTCCATGATGGTATTACACCACAGCCTCCGCATCACTGCATGTCCGTGTGTCAGTCTATGGTGTCAACACACCGAGGAGGAGTGGGTGAGCCCGAATAAGCCTAGCAACGCATGGCATCAGGGTGATGGAGATATGAGGCAGTGTGTGTTTGTTTGTTTGTTTGTTTGTGTCTGCGATGTATTTTCCTCATAGAGTCTGTTTACATTTTGGTTGCTGAGCCAATCTCTGTGGAACTGCTTCGGTCAGACAGATGAAAAACGGCCATCTTTTTAATGGAGCAATCTTTTTTTTGTTGGTGTGTATAGTATACAATAATAATTTAGCTCTCATCCACCTCTGAGTTGTCTTGGAAACAAGAACCATGCACCGACAGCATCATTTCTTATTTTGCCGGAGTTAATAGAATAACTAAATCAACCTGTTAGCAGCAGGACCCCGGGGCAACAATCTGCTATTGAGCCAATATTGTGGTCATTTCATTTTAGTGAGCAATGGGTTTAAACACAGAGCTCCTTGCGTCCCCTGCAGGGTTCACATTAGTCCATGTGTTATGCAAACTTCTTAACCACTGCAATTTATTAATAACCAACAATCATTTGAGTTGTAGTGAATCTTGAAGATTATTTTGAGGCCTATGTTAATGACTATAACAACATAACCAACACTGTTTAAGAGTTGGTTGGGATTTGACATAATTCAACAAACCATACAAAACCCATATGCCTATTTCACCACCACATACCATATATCAGGATTGTGCAGGGACTTTGACTATGAATGAATGTGCCTTGATCAATAATGGAAACCTGTGACTTAGAAAAGGGATCATTTCCGATCCAAAGATCAGCCACTTGAGAGCGCACCTGTTCATATTCAGATAGAAATGTGAACCTGTTAATCAAACTAGTAGGAAAAAGGGTATGGAACATGAGTTTGAAATAATTTATCATGGCATTTATTTGTTGCTGGGTTAGGGAGAGGGTTGAGGCTAGGGTTTGGGTTAGGGTTAGTGAATATTAAGAATCTCAATAGAGATATTGAAGACATTTATTCACTTAAACCCACAAATATCTAGCAGGTGCTCATTGACAAATCGACCTAGTATCGATGTTGTATCTGACTGAGGTTTACTAGATAACTTTTGTTGACCCTGGATGTTTGCATCTGACCAACAGTTTAACCATAAGTTTATATTGCATTATTTATAATGTGGCAACTTTTAGCTATTCATTATCTTACCATGTGTTTTATAAAGGGACACCCTATGAATAAATACAGTCATTCTTTTGTGGTTGTCTTTTCTGTTCCATCCCAAACAACTTCCTGTCTGCAGCAGTTTCCTGATAAAAATGGCAGTGGAGAAGCGTCTGGCATTCTCTATTGTGCAGTTCCTACGAGATCAAACACATCAGGGTGCTTTGAATTCTGATGAGCAGGAGAGCCTCGAAGGTATAGGCCATCTCGCTGTGCATCTACACTTCACAAATATAGGACAACATGCTTCAGCTTTCAGCAGAGTAATGCTTTTATCCCACTATCCTTATAAAGTGAGAATAAAAGATAAAGAATCACACTAGACTGGGAATTAGGGCATGGTGTTCAGTACTTGTGGTGGTGTGTTTCATCCTATGTAAACAGATAGAAAAATGTCTCACTCTGAATGAGCAGCCAAGCTCTGACTCACCATCCCACCAGAACAATACTGTGATGACCAATTTTTTAGCTGGCAACTTAAAATCTCAGAAATGTTATTTATCTGGTCAACATCTTTCTGTGAATGCAGTTGCCATACAGTGTTTGGAGACAACCTTTAAGATCGGCTCCAGTGACTCCCACCTCGCTGTGCCACAGCCCCTGACAGAAATATTCCTCAACTCCCTGCTTAAGGTGGGTGATGCACCATCCATGACTTAACATATGAAGGAGGTACGATATTTCATCATTATGTATGGCACATAAAAACTCAAAGTCAACACTATAAGCCTTTCTTATGGCAGATATATATTGTCAATATAACTGTTACTACATCTTTGTGTACACCTGTGCATGCTGGCTCACATGCCATTAGGTAATGGCCAGCATATAGAAATCCTTAATACAATGAGTTACACCTGCTTTCCCTCCTGTTAAGGTCAACATCTCTTGTTTACAATTCAGTCACTATTCACTTAGAAGTAATGACTCTTTTATTTTTTTCATTTACTTAGAATGACAATATTACCATACCAGAGACCTCCCCATCTCCAGAAGACATTGAAAGAGCGGAGCAACTTAAAAATGAAGGTAAAGTCAAACGTTAATTGTTACTATAACTAAAACTTTGCATTCCTCTGTAGCCTTCCTGGTAGCACCACAAAGTGCTTGTGCTCTGATAAAGAAAAATAATACAGAAGAGGTTACTAGGTAACTAGAAGATAAATATAGAGACAGTATGCCTATAAATGAAATTCTGATGATATCCATGACAACATTGAGACCTTTACCATGAATATATCTTACTGTTGATATCACGTTCATCCCAATATGAATTATTATTTGTACATCAATTGTTGATACATTTGCATCATTTATTTAAAAAAGCCATGACAAAAAGCAAAACTGTGATGCATCTATTATAACTTTGGCAAAAAATGCTAAACAACATGTTTTTTTCCAACCCTAACCCCTACCCATTTTCTTTTCAGGGAACAACCACATGAAAGAAGAGAACTACAGATGTGCAGTGGAGTGCTACACAAAGGCCATTGACCTGGACCTTAGAAACGCTGTGTACTACTGCAACAGGTCTTTACAACTGCAAGCAACAGGATTTACTGTCAATGTTCTCCACCTAACTTGTACTGGTTTACATATTATATACTACAGCACACAAGCACATTTGAACAGGAGAACTAAATTGTTGATTAAATCCCTTCCTTGTGTTATGTATGTACAACGCACAGTTATAAAGTTAAGCATGGGGTCTGAATGTAACCCTCTGCAGGGCGGCGGCTCACAGTAAACTGGGAAACTACACAGAGGCAACTGGTGACTGCGAGAGAGCCATTGGGATTGATCCTACCTACAGCAAAGCGTACGGGAGGATGGGGTGAGTTTCATGTTAGGCGTTATTAAAACAAGGATTTTTCTGTCTCAATGATATTTCAAGCTCTGAGAAAATGCGGTCTGTGTCTTTATTTTGTGGCTGCAGTCTGGCTCTGACAGCCATGAACAAGTATCCAGAGGCAATCTCCTTCTTCAAGAAAGCTTTGGTATTAGATCCAGATAATGATACCTATAAATCCAACCTGAAGATAGCGGAGCAGAAGCAGAAAGAAGCAAGCAGCCCAGTGAGTAAAAGCAAGCTGTCTTTACCTCATTTTATTATGTAACATTAGTTATGTCCCATCAAAGCTTACATACATATCCGAGTCATGTTTATTTTGACCTTTTTAATGTGCGCCACAGATAGCTGCTGGATTGGGTTTCGACATGGCTAGTTTAATCAACAACCCTGCCTTCATCAGCATGGTGAGTCTGAATGTATGCACTGCACATAAAGCCTGAGAGGTTAGCGCTGTTTAGCAAACATTTGTCCTGGAGACAGGTGTTGTATGCTTGTTTTGTCTCTGTGAAGGTTAGACCAGATTCTTTTGTCCTAATTAGCCCCATGAGTGACAGTTAGCCCATTAATCAACCGGATTATTGTGGAGGGGAGGGCACAGTGCCTGGGTTTCTGACAGCGCGGACTCGTTAAACGATGACACAAGGGAACGTCTGCCAGGACAAGAACGCTTCTACAAGCATACCAGAGTTTACTGCAGCAACAATGACAACATACATCTAAATCATCTGTCCGTATACAGCTGTACCGCACTAGATAATCAGAAATGAATCGTCCTTTTAATACATCTATGAAAAACTAGATTTTTGTCCACAGGCTGCAAGCGTGATGCAGAACCAACAAGTGCAACAGCTGTGAGTGTCAGAATGAATTGTTGCCTTCAGAGTAAAGTGCAGAAGAAGCATGATTTGACTCCCTGTCTCTGTGTCTCTGGGGGTCAGTATGTCAGGAATGATGTCGAATGCAGTCGGGGGTCCTGCAGCAGGAGTCGGGGGACTGTCGGACATCTCCAGTTTGATTGAAGCGTAAGTACATAGAAATAGATGAAAATACTTTTGCTTGTTTATTATTCACTGTCGAGAGTTTTGAATGAGTTCAACATATTTAAATATAAGACATTAAAGTAGTTATTCAAAATGTTACAGTCTGTACGACAAATATAAAACTACAGGAATCCATTTGAATGGTTCCAGTCTAGTCTAACTATCTACTGGCACCATTTTTACATTTGTGGTACAATCCTGAGAGTGATATAGATTTTCTGATATAACTCTTGACAATAAAAAAAATGGGCACATTTCTGAAACAATGTCATATGAATATCTGATTCCGACGGGGCATGCTGCCCACTGAGGGTCAAAGCCAGTTTGTGGTGTTAGAGTACTTTCCTGCATGTATCAAGTGAAATTTGATGCAGGAGCAATGCACCTCAACTAACATTTTTCAAAACGACCTTATACACGTTGGTGGAGGCTAAAACAGAATTTAATAACTCCCTAAATTGAGGTGACATTTTCAGACCACAAACCCCTTAGATATTGAGAAGCAGTGGCTCTGTTGATAGTACTTTTTCCCACGTAGCTCAGCGTCAGAATACTTTTACTTATGTCAACAAGGTGAGGAAATAAGGCTTTTATCAAAAAGGAATTTCTTCTACTGCATATTAAAAACTAAGATATTTCTCATCTTGCTTTTTGTAAGCTATTGTTTTAAACACAGTTCTCTGGTTGGTCTGTCAGGGGTCAACAGTTTGCGCAGCAGATCCAGCAGCAGAACCCCGAGCTGATCGAGCAGCTGAGGAACCACATCCGGAGCCGCTCATTCAGCGGCAGCGCGGAGGAGCACTCCTGATCTGATAAGGTCTTTATACTTTTAAACCAAATCTTAGCTGCCCGTATATAAATATATATATCCTTAACATGTATTATTTTTATATTCCAGTCTCACATTTTTTTCTCCAAGGAAGGGCAACCATATGGCGCGATTACAATCTCTCACCCATTTCTTGAAATCAAATCCCCGGCACAGCTGGAACGAAGAGACAAGGATCGGGTTGAAGGCACTTTACTGTGAATAAAAACTCTGAGGCGGAGAGAGGTGAAGACCTAGAGACTGGACCATGAAATGAAGCATCCTACACATGAAGGACAAAACACATTTGAAACACTTAATCACAAAAAGAGCCAAGAAGCTTGCTTTTACATCCTGCTGAAATTGTGTTTTATATGTGCTGAAAATACTGCCCGCTTCACGTTATGAGTTAGGGATCATTCTGTTTATTCATGATACTTAGAGAGTAGGGAGGACTGCAGGAAACATTCAGCGTGTGTTCATAGAAAAACACACCAGGTTTATATTGCATCCAGTTCAATATTATTTTTGTAGACAGCATAGGCTCTACTTGTGTATTGAAAACACGTTGGACTCACATCACTGCTTTTCAACAAGTACTACTTAACTGTTGATTAAGACAACAATGTAATTGTATAGCAGTGTTTGCAGCCTGCATTATGTTGTTACTGCACTTTATCAAAGATTAAATATACCCCCTTTAAGCATATTTAATTGTTCATTAACTAGAGTACTAAGATTGATCATTTTGCATGCTCTTAAATCTGGTATTTGAGATCAGATGCTTTATGGAAACAAATAGGTATATGCTAGGGCAGCACAATGTTTTGTCCAAAACATGTGAATAAATGTCTTGAAATCCAGCAACGTGTTTCACTCGTGCTTTTTTGTGATTGTTATACACTCACCGGCCTCTTTATTAGGTAGGCTACACCTTGCCAGTACCGGCTTCAGAACTGCTTTAATTCTTAGTGGCATATAGACTCAACAAGGTGCTGGAAACATTCCTCAGAGACTTTGGTCCATATTGAGATGGTAGTATCACCCAGTTGCTGCAGATTTGTCGGCTGCACATCCATGATGCAAATCTCCCGTTTCACCACATCCCAAAGGTGCTCTGTAGGATTTAGATCAGCAGACTGTGGAGGCCATTAGAGTACGGTGAACTCGTTGTCCTGTTCAAGAAACCAGTTGGAGATGATTTGAGCTTTGTGACATGGCGTGTTATCCTGCTGGAAGTAGCATGTGTGCAATGTGGTCATAAAGGGATGGACATGGTCAGCAACAATACTCAGGTAGGCTGTGGTGCCAAGAAAATACCCCCACACCATTACACACCCACCCCCGGCCTGAACCGTTGATACAAGGCAGGATGGATCCATGCCCTCGTGTTGTTGGGTCAAAACCCTTCTGTCCGAATGTTGCAGCACAAATCGACTCATCTTCTTTATTCCAGTTTGGTGAGCCTGTCTGAATTGTAACCTCAGTTTCCTGTTCTTAGCTGACAGGATTTCTCCCGTAGAACTGCCGCTCACTGGACGTTTTCTCTTTTTTCAGACAATTCTCTGTAAACCCTAGAGAAGGTTGTGTGTGAAAATTCTAGATCAGCAGTTTCTGAAAATAGACCAGCCCATCTGGCACCGACAACCATGCCACGTTCAAAGTCACTTAAATCACCTTTCTGATACTCTGTCTGAACTTCACCAGGTCGTCTTCACCATCTCTCCATGTCTAAATGTAGACTATTGAGTTGCTGCCATGTGATTGGCTGATGAAATAGGTGTACCTAATAAAGTGGCCAGTGAGTGTATTATGACTTGTGTTAAATCTTTACATAGCGGGTTATTATGGTGGCCGACAGGTGCAAAGTTTACAACGGCCCAAAACACTTCCATTAGTAGAACGCTTTCCAGCACAATGCTAATACAAAAACACACATTTGCCAAACCAAATGCAAATGAAGAAACATCTCCACCAACTTGACAACACATTGCAGCATTTAGAAACAATCACCAACATTCGCACCATTTACAAAAAGTGTTGCATAAGCAAAGGATTGCAAATACAAAATGCTGCAAGAAAATAAAAAAAACACGGAAACGGAGAAACTAAAAAGTGATGCACACAGCTGGGACCGCAGCACGTGTTGACAGTCACTGCGCATGTTTCGTCAAGTTGCGTTCCTCATTAGTTTATTGTTCCTTGCAGTGCGTTTGTATTGGCCGTAGTAAATGCATTCAAAATATACCTAACCTCCAGAGAATCCTACCACCAACAAGTTTTTTGTAAAATGTCTTAAAAGTAATATCTTGGTCAATTTACTTAAATGCTCGGGGCTTAACAGGTTAATGTATTTATCACCTTAGTATGTGTGGCAAATATGTGGTTTAAAATGTCCAAACATCCCTATAACAGATCTTTAAGAAAATATGCTCGGTGCAGTCAACAAAGGCTCCATAGAAAGCCATAGGAAATCAAAGATCACAGAGATTTTATTAACATTTATCCCCATTTACATCATTAATTTCAAAGAAAGTGATTTATATTATACATAATTCATTTAAAAATACAGTAGTATCCCATCAGGTTGCAAAAAGAGTGAAATGTGAGCTTCATGTGCAGAATCCCAAGGTTGGTCCATTCATATCTAAAATGCAAAAAAAGCCAAATAAAATGTTCTAGCACTCATTGTTGGTGTATGGGCAGACCACACACACTTGTGCGATGTCATCGTATTCGTAGGTCCTCTTCAGAAATGTGTCTGTAAGTCTCAATCCGGAAATACTCTGAAACAAAAGACGTAAAGATTATAAGAACAGCAAGAACAGCACGAGCATACGAAGCAACACTTTTCCTAAAGGTTTGGATCGTACCTGCAGACCCTGGACTGAGGAGAGGAGGATGAGGGGCAGAGAGAGGAAGGCTCCAGGACTGAGCTTCCCCAGCTGTCGCCCTGACACCCCGCACCAGTGGATGGACCGGGTGTTCATCATCTCCAGCTCCAGGTCCATCGTTCTTTCACTGCAACATGAGAACGCTGTTGGGTCATGTCTTTTTTTCTCAATGATTGTTTCATATGTTGGGCCGGGGATTTTTACCTGCAGTTGGTGATTTTACAGATAATGTCAAAAGGTTCTTCAAGGTTGACGGTGTCAGGAATCATCTCTAAAGACAGTCTGATGTCTCCATACCCTGGAGCCTGGAGAACACAGATAGAAGCATTACAGAAATAAAGATAATACAAATGAAAAAATATTACAATAAATCATTTCTTTCTCCTGTGTTGATGACCTCATAAAGATGACCAACGTTTTTTTTTTAAGGATAATCTTTCAATGCTTCTTAAATAAAAAATTATTTTGCAAAAAGAATTGCAATTGTTTTGTTGTTGTAATACTCAATTCAGCCACAAGAGGCTGACGGTTACCCCACTACTCCATGTTCTACAAAAACACATTCATGTTCTCACTTGAAACATGATCTTTATGAAAATGATTGAAATGTAAGTAACTAAGAAAGATTTGAACCATAACCCTAACCTACTAAAATAACCCAGATAAGGTTCTTTTTTAAATCAGACTTAAAGAATGGACGCCATATTTGTTCACTGGATGTTCTGAATGTTGGCAATAGTGGACAATAAATAAAAGAGTCCTAATACCATTCTTTGCAGCTGACTGGTCTGTAGCCTCCCTCTCTCCCCGAGGTTGGTCTTCCACACGATGTCCAGCTTCCCGATCACCGTCACTCCCTTGATGACTCCAGCTTTCTCTGCATACTCCGGCTTTGGTTTCAGGCAGTACAGGTACTGCCGCGTGTCCATGGGCTGCAGGTAAGACATTTTCCCAAATGTGGACTCTCTGGAAGTTCAAAGATCGGGTTGAGATTTGAGTTTAAAAAAGCTGATGTGGTATACCTTAACAATAAGGAATATACATGTAAAGCTGATTTTACCCTTCATCTCCCCCTGCCACCGTGTTGAGCTCGGTGACGTTGTACATCATGGAGGGCTCCAGGGAGACCTTCTCCATGAACATGGGAGAGGTGGTGATGTTCTGGATCTGAGCCTCCAGGAACACTTCATCTGTCTGCAGCGGAGAAGCCTCCAGTCACTTACTCATATGTGTTGCTCACCATCAAGCACAAACACGTTATCTCCAAGGTGAACTGAGCAACATGTACACTATAGAGTGGTAAACCCTACTGTGCTAAAGGACAGGTCCACGTCTGTTCATGTCTCATTCACACACCCATATGTTCATTTCAACAGTTGTCCTTTTCCTCCTGCACATAATGATATAAATCCAACGATGCCTTTGTAGTCTATACAGAGTTATACAAAACTGTATCTCCCCTATCTGGGATTAATACAAGTTGATCTTAAAACAAGTGTGCAAAGTTATTAATATAATATGACTCTTGTTTTACTATCCCTCTGTTGCAGCTTGGCAGGAATAATAAGGGTAAAGGTGTTAACTATACTATGACGTACCCACATGATTGAACTCAGATGACTGAAGCCTTATATTAGTGTCAAAAGGAATGGTTTTAGTCCATTGGATTTAAAAAAAAGTATGAACAGGAGGAATGACTATAACCAGCTTTAACTCTTTGAATGTACACATGAGCATGTGAGCAATGTTTTAAGATAACGTGAACATATCCTCTGAACTACTTGAAGTGTTGTGAGAGTCATAATTAATCACATGTATTGTAACATTAAACATTTAAACTTGAATAACATAAATGTAATTGTGTTATGTTTGCTCAGTGTACCTTTGAGGACATTGTTAGTGCAGTGCTGAGCAGCGTGAGTACAGTAGGGGTTGCACAACCAGAGTTTCACCAATCCACAGGTCATAAAGAGGTCTCTCAAACATCAACTCGTTTTTTCATTGATAACTAATAACATCTCATTTCAATATGAAAATGCATTTCATAAAAAAAAAGGTAAGATACTTACCTAAAGTGATATGACTTGAACTGTTTAACCTACATCTAAGATAATTGGTTCTGGTGTTTGAACAGGATTGTGGGCAACTAGTTGATGCTTTGGAAAAGTATCACTCAGTGGTCCAAACAACGCTCACATTTTGAGTGCAACCTCTACTATACAGTAAGATACAAGGAAAGGGAAGCAGAGATTAGTTCATGCCTTTGCAATCCATAACATAGGAAATGAATCACAGCCTGTTCTGAGTGAGGTTCGTGTTAAACCACAGAGCTTAGCCTCTGCTCCATGCACAGCCATTCCAAAACAAACCTG